TCACACTCCACCGCTAAACGACATGTTCCCGTCAAGTTCCCTGAATCTAGTATGTGGAGCTACTCACTTCAGAAGATGCCTCTGTTTACCAGAGCGGAATTAAACAATCATATAACACGTTCTGGGGTCTAGATAATTGTATATTTCCATTAAGACACCGTTGTTACGAAACGAAGTGTAGCAGGACACAGCAGAAGTGTCGGCGCGAAATCTTTCAATAGAAAAAAGTCTACTTTTTAAATATTCATTCTTCTTTGAAATGCTTTCTATTTCTCTTTAGAGCTCTTCTATTCTCATTTCATACTGTTTCACAAGCGCGACAACACTCTTATCACTCTGAATGCATGCATCCTTCGACTCGACCAAATCGGTCTGAGTTTCGGCATCTTTTCTCTTTGCCTCCTTTTCGACATTCTTTTCATTAGATTCTACAGTTGCAATCTGACTCTGTAGCTGTTCATTCGATTTATCATTTACGCTGCTTTCCGAGTGTGCACGCCATGAATAAAGCCCTGGATGATTGATGAGTAGTTGCTTTACTGGTGAGTCTTTGAGGTGGAGGCTTCCTTTTGCACGGCGAAGTACGCCACTGAAATACCAAAGGTACAGCATTGGTTTGAAGGCATATTTCTCCCTCAATACTTTTCTTCAAGTCTTCCACTTTAAAATGGTGCGAGCAGACCATGGTTGAGTCCAAGACTTTGAAGCTTTTTCCTTCCTCTCGACGGATTGCATGAAGCCATTGCTTTCTCGCGAGTTTTTCTTTGGGAAACTTGAAGTAGGATATTTATTAACCGTTTACGTCGCGATATCTCCTAGTAGTCCGTGAAGGAACACAACAGTGGCATGGCATTGTATATATTAACTTGAGCCTTAACTACATTGGTAGTCGATTCTTTGAGAAATAAAGCTTTTTGGATTAATAAATTGTGCCAGAAACTTTTTGACAAGCGCTCACAAGTGCACAAATCCTTGCCCGGGTGGCCTCGTCCCCATGCCCTAGTTTTAGTCTTTACTCGGTCGCCGCCATTATGGCAAAGGTGTATATTACATGCAAATCCATGCAATTACAGTCGTAGTAGTTTCGGATGTTTTGTAAATAGCTGGCTAACAAAGGAAATAAAGACTGCTCTTACTGTGAATGTGGCATGGCTTTCATGTATGTAGCTCAGTTCAACTGCGGGATTTTATATATTTCATATTCCATTATGTAATTAAGATAACCCTGGTCATCACCGGTGAAAGTTGTAATGATGGAAAATGCGGCCAGTCCTCATTATCGACGAGAATGCAAGAAGTGGT